TTTTTTTTTTTTTTGTGCACAAATCAATTCAACATGTCCTGATAGCACAGTGTAGGACATTAAGTGTGATGAGCAGGAAGGTGACACAGAGGATAAATGAGACTGTAATGGAGAATCATATCAAGAACTCTCCAACAATCCCCTACGGTGACCCGAGGCGTGCTAAAAGACGACATAGCAAACACTTCAGAGTACAAGTGATGAGTCTGACAAAATTGGCATCCTTTCTGAGAGCCGGGAATTAGGCCACTGAGTTTGAGTCACTCTGTGTGTTGATTCTGGCCAAGATGTTCTCTTCACTCCCCCAACAAGTCCAGAGGAAGCTCACTAACAGTCCATCAGACCCTGCCATCAAAACAAGCCTCTCCACACACAAAGTGGCACGCGTGCAGTCGAACTCGGTCCCCGAACTCTTCTGCTAGTGCACCAAACTGCTGTGTCGGCAGGCGTTGCTGTCTGAAGGCTTGGCTCGTATGCCATTAATCCCAACCATTTATAAACGAGCGCCTAAATATACACAGTGCTTAATTAAAGTTGGGCATCCATTATTGAAGCAAATCCCAGCTATATGGGATGAGAAGGTAATTAGTCCCTCTACACCTTGGTGCTCATCTCTGTTTCTAGGGGTTATAAATACCGGCCCCGCCGCCTCATGAAGGGTATCCTTTAAATTACATCCTTGAGCTTTACAAAAGGTTAGAAGAAAGGATTTCCGAAATTACGTGACATGACGTTTAAACGCGGGGCTATTAAGATGTTTTTCATCCGGCAGAAAAGTCAACCAAAACGGTCATCTGATACAGACAACAACACAACGGGCTCCGTCGCCTCGGACGGTACGCACCCATCAAACCAAGAGCTGCGATCTCAAGGTCGGGCTCTGTTCTGAGGAGACAAATGACCTTTAGTCGTAATCTTTCGGAATGTCGCGTAGGAATCACTTTGGGTAATAACAAATAATGACTGTATCTTTACCATTGGGAGAGAGGTATTGATTTTTTTTCCACCCACCAAAGCCGGAAATTATGACCTTAGCTTTATAGGAAGGGATATGTCACTGTTTGCAGAATGAAATATCTATTTTTGTGACTGGCAATGAGTTCTAAATCTATCCCCCCCACCCCCAGTGTTAGAATCGAATCAATTTTATGGTAATATTATCATATGATTTGTCTTCAGACACATCTAGGACACAAATGAAGTCCTCAACGAAACATGACTTGGCAAAGTATAAAAACGAAAGTGAACGTTTATTCATTCACGTGTCCTTAATTTACATTCAGAATATATTGACATATGAACTCAAATGTAACTTTCAAAATGTATATCCAAATAGCTTTATTTATTTATTTTATTTATTTACTCAAGCAAACTGATGCATTTTTTTCACAATGCCCAGCAATGACACCAAGACTGCTTTACGTTGATCTCAATCTGAAGGACTGTCAGGTAGGTTAAGACACTTGCAGGTAAATCAAAATCTGCTGCTGCTGGGACTACAGTTTAAGTCAAATTTAAATTCCGCTATTACATTTGACTAGCATTTTTATTTATTCACAGTTTTCTGACCCGGCGTAATTAATGGACAGTCCATGAAACTTAGTTATGCAGCTAAAGCCAGAGGAACTTTGTGCAACCGATAACCTTTGTATCTCTCTACCATACATCAGCATCGCTCTTAGCCAAAGAAAAAGTTCCAGCCTCACTTTACCAAGAGACCACTAGCCAACAGCGGAAAAGAATGACTGCTGTGAATATTATACAAAGGTAGTAAGTGATACCATACTAACGCTAAAGTACTGCTCAATGTTTTTTTGGGTTTTTTCTCCTAATTCTTTTTTTTGAAAATAATGTTTCTAGTCCATATATTTTGTCTTCAGATGTCAATCACCTCCTCAAAGAGACAACAGCAGCGAGGAAAGAGGTTAAAAGGCCAAACTGTGTTACACTGTAATGTCTCCCCACCGTGTTTACATCTCGTTGGACACATCCTCTGCAGGCAGAAACTGCAAACTGATTTGACGGGAAATTCGATAATCTAATGAGGATTCTGTCCGTCAACTTATTCCAGCATTTTCTCACAATGAACTTCTCATCCTTACCCTTTCAGTTCAAATCTTTGTTTTGAACTGAGAAAACAACTAAATTATCATTCAGCGCTGAATCAATAAGTGCATTTGCAGGCACACGGTAACACAACAGCTCATTCAGGTTCAGGGATGGAATTAGGCTAACAGAGTAATGACAAAATGTCCTAATTATGAGTATATCTTAGTACTGCATTGTATTAGTGTCCCTTGTAACCAGCCTAAAAGCTTTTTGGTGCAAACTGAAAAGCACAAAACTAAGCAAACAAAATAGAATCTGCCTGATTACTTAATTTCTTAAAATTTTCTTGGTTTGGAAATATTAAAAATAAATTTCTTTCCCGTTTTCCTCTGACTCCAGGAATCAGTGTTTAACAATGATTGATTTGATACATCACCGGATGCAGCTTGAGATAAATTGTTCATCATAGCGTGGCTAAAACAGTCGTTTGGGTGAGACATCCTTCATTACTTCAGCCTTCATAAAATCAACATATGTTCACCCCGAGCAAGGAAAAAAAAGAAAAAAGGAAAGACTTTTTAAACTTTCCAGAGAGTGAAGGACAGTAGCGGAGGTAGCAAGAGTTCAGGGTTTAGCCTTTTAAAAGTGGATGATTGAATTTCTTGGCAGGGGATTCATTAAAATGATAATTCTTATTTATGAAGCCCTTTAAAAAATTAAAATACTTTCCGTGTACTGCTTCCTATTAATTAACTTTTTTTTCCTCTCATTTTCTTTCTTTCTCTTCTCTACTTTTTTCTTTACTTCCCACTGAACTTGACACACTAATAGGTTATGAATAATTCTGTTTCAGTTTAGATGGCAATTAGCCACAATGCCAGAGGCCATTCTTCTTCCTCTCTGGTGGAGTGGTGATTTAAGACCCAGCTGAGTTAGGGTGCTCCAACCATCCCACGACCACATCATTCACTTCCTCCCACCCAGCACTGGAACAAGAAACAGTTGACTACGTAAATCCCCTCTCATTGATAAAGTCTTTCACCGACGCCAGCGAGCAGGACCGCTCCAAAGGAGACGCTGGTCATCAAAAAGAACAGAACAAGGGGCTAAAAGGCTTCGTTAAAAAGGAACAAATGTCTAAGTTAAGAGAGAGTGGGAAAAAAAAGGGAACACAAAGCCCAAAGCCAGTTCTCAGGGGCACAAAATGTGATAATGGAGTAATATTGTCACATGGTGTCTCTCTCTAGTGTTCCACTGAAAAAATTCCACCATTGCTAATTAGCCACAGGACCACATGGAGAACAGCATGTCTTTGCTGCTGGAATTGATACATCAGAGGCAGGCGAAGCAGCTGTCGTTAGGGGGACTTAAATACAATAATTACAGCACAGACTGAGCAATGGGCTACAGGCTCAAAGCCTCATCCAATGATTGAATGAAATATCATGGTAACTAAATAATGGCAATAGTCATTTTAACACAGAGGCAATAAGGTGTGAAGTAAACGGAAGGAAGCAAATACTCATCAGTGTTAAATCAACATGACTGATAGACAGATATGCATAGATAAATAGACAGACACAAGAACAAAGTAGGCTTTTGTTCTCATTTGTTTGTTTTTTTTCTTTTAATCCCGGACTGAAGCATCACCTACCTCCCAACGCTCCTCGACACACGCAGTTACAGCAGAAACACATCATTCTTATCAACATGAATTTTCTGCTGGATCGATTCCATGAAGCCCCCCCTTCTCTCACCCAAAACACCCTCAGGATTTGGAATCAAGTCTATTTCTGTTCGGTTCATAGTTGAAGGAAGCAATAACCTTCTAATGGCAGACATTCCAGATCAGGATCACCACTGAAATTTAATCAATCGCTCCGTAGCCCAGGGACCTATCCGTCTGCAAAATTTCAAGGAAAATGTGTTCATTAATTCTTGATGTCACATGAGAGACAGTCACGACAGTGGAAAGTAGCTGCTGTGGTGACGGGGGTGGGGGGTGGAACAAATAAATAAATAAAGGAATCCCGCATCACCCTGAAAAATCACCTCCGTGTGAAATATCTTTGGTATTCATTGGGCGAGCGTGATTAATTCACTGGCTGTCTGTAGTGCCATTGTTTTCCACTCTGAGCCAACATCCATCCGATTGGTGAGCCATTTTTCAAACGTTTTCAGACAAAACCTGGACTTGCAGCACACTGAGCTAATAAGTGTTCTCAAAATTACAACGGGCCGGTTTGACACAGCTGATCACAGCACATTAGAACAATCTAATTAATTAAACATTTTATTTTTTTATCCCAGTACAAGTCTGCCACAGTCTTTCCTACAAATAGGAAAGATGGAGAAATGAAACATAGATGATGTGAGTGTGGGGGTCATTTTTGACATTGAGGTTTACTGCAGTAACAAGTAAAAAAAAATGAAATAAAACTCTCTTATGATCAAAAGTATTAAAGGAACTGAAGATCTGGCCTATCCACATTTCTTAAGCAAGGCAATAAAGCAACACCTGCTCTCTATAAACATGAGTATTAGCGAAATAAAGTGGCCAAGCAATTAAGCTTTTCTAATTTTACATGCTTTTTTTTTTTTTTCTAGGAAAATTCCTTTTTTCGTGCTGAATAACCAGCACATCCAACCAAGAACGTTGGTTTTCAAACATCCCCCCTCTGGCATCTCACATAAAACTTGAAACCTTTCACTTTTTTTGTGGAGTGATCAAGACATTCCTCTCCTGCCTGCAGGCCTGCACCACATCCAGTTTTTCAATCTTTGTCACACTGTCCAACTTTGAACTGTCTCTCTCCATGCACCCAGTATCCCACCCAAGCATCCTGCTTTAACCAAAAAAATTAAATAAAATAAAACCTGAAAGCAAGATGCCACTTGAAAGATATTTCCTTGGCTTTAAAGTACAGATGAAGTACAGTGATGGTACTCACACATAACCGTGAGAAAAACATTCCCTGAAGCCAGGACAACCTTCTCCCTCGTTGCCCGGTCGTAGATGCCCACATGGCATTCATAAGGCCCGTTGTCGGAGATCCGTACCTCTGGGAGCCTAAAAAACAAAAAAAACAGGTACTTTGTGAGTTGATACCAATCTTACCATTCTTGCAATATCAATGGAAAGCATGAGATTAGATTGTGCATAGTTGTGCAGATAAATATTATTGTTCACAGATATGAAGTCGAAACTGCTATACGACAGCACAAAGCGCTGTGAAAAGAAGCCAAATTAAAGCTTGCTGCAGTGGAAATGATGTATTCTTCCTAACAGGACACTGGTAAATGATGTGTCCCATCCATGATGATGAGATGTAGAATTTCACAATGTCTCACAAAGTGAGATTTCGCTCTGTTCACAGCAAAAGTTAAATATTTTGCATATTTGTGTTTTAAGAGCTGCAAGGTGGCTAAGTGGTTAGCACCGTTGTCTCGCAGCAAGAAGGTCACCAGTTCGTGTCCCGGTGAGGACACCTGGGATCTTCCTGTGTGGAGTTTGCATGTTCTCCCCGTGCAAAATTGTCCGTAAGTGTGAATGCGAGTGTGCTTGGTTGTCTGTCTCTAAGTGTAGCCCTGTGATAGACTGGTGACCTGTCCAGGGTGTCCCCTGCCTTCACCCTGAGTCAGCTGGGATAGGCTCCAGCCCCCGCGACCCTAGTGAGGAAACAGCGGTGCATTGTGTTTCGAAGGCACTGGTGGCCCTTGTTATCTGCTTGCTATGTTTTTTTTGAAAAGTTGTAATTAGGCATTCAATGCATAAATTTGCTAAAAGTATAAAGGCGCGTATGAAAGTGCTGCTCTGGTCAGTTTATGAACATTTATAAGCTCCTATACACTATTAGTCCAAGGTATAGTAATATGTGTTCAAGTGAAATCAATGTAAAGTTCATTATTATCAATGATTTATCAAGTATACACTAATTATTGTTAGCAAATCAGTAAACACTGGTATAAATAAATAAATAAATAAATACATACATACATACATACATACATACATACATACATACATACATACATACATACATACATACATACATACATAATTATTATTATTACTACATTTTGGTGCTAATAATCATATATATATATATATATATGATCAAACTGTACTAATGTTGTACATGTCAGACTTTCTAAGATCCACTCAGTGACCAAGCAGTCATCTGTATCATTATTACTAATCCCTTGTTACCACCTACTCCTCATTAGCAGTTCATTTAACAACCCCAGCTTTTACTCATTTATTTGAAATAATTAGAGTGATACAGTGAAAAGTTGTTTATGCAACAACAGCTCTAATGGGACTTTTTGAGAAAATAACATTCTTTAAAGATGTACTCACGTTTACTACAACATTTACAGCCCCAACCATGACGAGGAGAACACAAAAACTAAAAGCATTTCATTTATTGTTCTCTAACAGAGACAAAATAAATATGGATATCAGATGACAGAGTAACTGAATCATGAATTCATCAGAATTTTAATTATGAATATAAAGTCTGACTCATTCAAGGATCACCACAATCTGCATTTATATTACTACAGTCAGCATGCTTATGTTGAAAATCACTAAAGGATGATTGAATTGGTCCTTTTATGGGATTTTTCCTTTGTGAATCTATTTATGGTTCTATAGAAAACCTTCACTGAAAGTCTTCAGTTATAGTTCAAAAAAGAAACATCCACAAGGAGAGTGTTTTTATGCAAATCAAAAGGCCAAATGCAAAGCATCCGATAATTTTTTTTCTTTTTTAATGTCTTCAGGTTAATTTGGGTTCATCTGACTCTTTTCACAGATATGTGTCTAAATGCACCGTTTTCAAGTTTGCACAAAAATGTATCATTCTAGAGAAGAAGGCCGCTTTTTTTTCTCTTTCTTTATTTCATATTTTGCTCAATGTGCAGAAGAGACACAACCGCCGACAATTATTCAGTCAGTGATAGCGGATGACCATTTTTTGAAAGAGATAGGAAACACGATCTGTATTCTGTACCCGGCTAATATGTCAACAGTGATAATCAAAGTGACACACCGCTAGTCACATTTAGCTCCTGTGATTTATTCCCACAAAACAGGAACAATTGTCCTTGCCGCCCGGGTGTTTCAGATGGGGACCTCTGTTGGAACAGCAGTAGGGTGCTCGCAGCAGCAGTCGGGCTTTAATGAGTTCAGCTGTGTGTGCGTGTGTGTGTGTGCGTGTGTGTGTGTGTGTGTGTGTGTGTAGGAGAAGCACTCACTCTTGTGGAGAGCAGTCAAATCTACGCACCAAACATAGATTTATATGTATTCTTACTGCTCCACATGTATCTTTGAACTACCCTTGAGCAAGGCACTTTAATCTCAACTGAAAGGGATAACACCAAGTGAATTTCAATTTTTTTTCTTCTTCTTTTAGTATTCCAAACTCACACATGTACTCTTCCAGTCCTAATACACTGTTGTTTGGTTGGTCAAATCTTTGAAAATTCAATATTTAATCATCAAAGAGCACCCAGCAGGTAGACTAAGCGATAGAAACGCATATCGAATGTCAGGCTTTAGATTTCGCCCCAGTGACGGAACAAAAACCTGTCTTGTATATCTTTATGTGCTCCGTGTTGTCTTTATTCTCAGCAGTCTTTTCAAATTCTAAAATATTTATTAAAAAGTAATGAAACACGGCTAAGAGTTTAAACGCTGTCTGCTTCCCTGACTCACAGCGGCAGACGAGATTATCAATAAAAATGATCGAGTTTGACTCGGCCTTCGGTGCGTAACCCGAAGCCAGAAAGTAAAGTTTAGGCTCTCAACTTCAAGTGAGAAAGTCGCGTTTTTGCTGAATGCACCAATCGCAAACGAATGTGTGAAAAAACCGAGAGTGAGCACCTCAAGATATAAAGCAGGGATTTCTCTGCCAGACCTTCCTTGAGGGATAAGCATAAAACAAGCAAGTCGTCTTTTTTCTTTTCTTTTTTTCCCACAACAGAGTAAAAATGATGAGAATAGCACAGTGAATCTCTCTCTGTGGTGGTGGGGGGTAATTGGCTTTGTCTTGGTAAATGCTGATGTAGCCCATTGCTTTGTTTTTACAAACAAAGCCGTACTTCTGTTATCCATAATCCTGACTGCTGCATTCATGGATTCAAACCAAGACACAGAAAAAAGAGAAAAAAAAGAACCCACCAAGTGCAAAGAAAAGGAAGCCAGAGATAAGATAATTCAAGGTGTGGAAGTATTGCTGGAAGAAAAAAAAGGGTGAAGAGGCCACATAGAAAAAGCCCAAACCACAGCATTTCTGAGTGGCTTGCCTGCTACTGGAGGCTCCTCCGGCTTGACAAGAAAGACATGTCCATCGGAATTCGGAGTAGAGAAAGAGGAAAGGTTGTACTCCTTACATTGAGACTTTTGTTAAATATTAAGACTGGTGGAATTAATTTTTCAGCACCCCCTCTAATCTTTGATGTCATGTATTTCAGAGGTGCTACTTCACTGAGAATCTGTTCGCAGAAATTGAACATGTGACTGTGAGAGTATTAAAACTCGTACCGGTGTCTCTCGTTCGCTATTAATGAATCAGGTAATGTTTCAAATCTTTATAGGAATGGAATCTTGATTTAAATGGAAGAATTGTAAATCACATACCATATATTATAGATTTCCATCGTCATTATTTCTCTGAGGTAATATGAGAGTAAATAGCAGTTTAAAGAGCACTTAAGCTTGTTTAACAAACAGCTCTGAATGTCTTCCTTCTGTAAGTGAAGTATAGTTGTAAAAAATGTGCATGAATTCAAGAAATCTATATTTGCACAGAGTACATTTCTCATTTTACCATAAAATAGCCTTTCTATTTTCAACTTACCCTTCTTTCTGGTCCTTTCTTCCTCTTAGCTCTCCATTAATTAATAACTCAACTTTTTTTTAAAAAAGCTACTATTTTTTTTTTTTTGTTTTGGTACTATTTCATTTTTGGTACCAATTAATTACTTTTCAGGTCATTCTGCCCTTTACTTTGTGGTGATTTTTCTGGATTTTATTAATCATTTGTAAAAAAAAATAAATAAATAAAAAAAGTAGATTAGCAATGACACAAACCAGAGCAGATGCTGGGATGAAAGAAAAAAACAAAGTCTTACCCACAGACTCGCAGACAAAATTTTATATCAGCACAACTTAAGTATTGCAAATAAGCAACCAAATGAATCCATAAATGAATAAAGAAAAACAATTTCCAGCAAACAGCGTTAAACACACTTCAAAACCACCCCGTGTAAACCAAAAAAAAAAAAAAAACAGCACATACACAGTGCAGATCGATAGCAATGGGCCCCCACGGAGGAGCAGCAAAAACAGCACACCGCAAAGAGAGATCGATTGTCCCCCAGGAGTTGCATCTGAAAGCTCTTTCCTGTTATGTAGGCCTTCCTCCAGAACTCCTCCTGCCTACAAATGCAAGCAAATGCAACTGCCTTGGATGGAGAGTGAAAAAGAGCACTCTTGACAGAGCGGCGTCTGATAGCTCATCCAGTCAATCTCTGCATCAAATTAACTAGCACATTGTCAGATACTTTTTCTGGCCTGAAGCATTATGGGTGAATGGGTCAGGACTGGCAATTGTAAGTCAGTATACACTCGATGAAAACCAGAGATAAATTGCCCATAGAGGACTAGATGCAAAGTGAGGTGTGTAATCACCCATGTTTCCTTAAGGAATAAGCATGAAACAAAATGATGAGGATAATGCTGTGATTCTGTGAGTGCCAAAGCAAGTGTGATTGGCTTTGTAGCTCGCTGGTTACATTATAGGAAGTGCTGATGTAGCTCATCTTTCTGTTCTTATCCACAAAGCTGTGCTTCTGTTGTTTGCTCACCTAAGTACTGCATTCATGGATTCCAATCCACACAAATACGGAGGAGAGTACAGTGATAAAAAGGTAAAAAGGATGGAGGCATTACTGGAAGAAGAGTAAAGGCCCAAAACGCAACCGCACAAAAAGAGACTTTCTGCTGATTACAGGCGCTCTAAAGCTCCAATTCAATGTGCGTTAAATAGGTTATGCATTACTCAT